TTCACAATGATAGGAAGAGTCGACATCGAAGGATCAAAAAGCAACGTCGCTATGAACGCTTGGCTGCCACAAGCCAGTTATCCCGCCGGTAACTTTTCGGACACCTCTAGGTTGAAGCTGTCAACAGGCGCAGTGCAGAATGGGAGCTTAGACGCACGAGTGCGTTGTTCACTCTTATCCGCCGCGACTAAAGGATCGATAGGCCATGCTTTCACAGTTTGTATTCATCCTGAAAATCACAAAATCAAGTGAGCTTTTGTCCTTTTACTCCACATGAGATTTCCGTTCTCATTGAGCTCACCTTGGGACACCTGCGTTATCGTTTTACAGATGTGCCGCCCCAGCCAAACTCCCCACCTGACCTCGTCTTGAAAGCGGGTCGGGATCGGCATAACATAAAGTGCAAGAACACTCCACGCTGCCCTCCCTTTCTCCAGAAATGGTGCACATGTGTGATCAGGTGCGCACAGCTCACACAAGAAATGCGCGCTACGCACACCACAATCACCCACACCAGCCCCGTGTCATTCAATAAGCAAAAAAACGACCAGAGTAGTGGTATTTCAAGGCCGCAAGCACAAGTAAACCCACACCTGCTCCCACCTATGCTACACCTCTGGTGTCTTTTCACACGGTCGGACTAGAGTCAAGCTCTAGCGGGTCTTCTTTCCCCGCTGATTGTGCCAAGTCCGTTCCCTTGGCTGCGGTTTCGCTAGAGCGTAGATAGGGACAGTGGGAATCTCGTTAATCCATTCATGCGCGTCACCAGTTAAATGACGAGGCATTTGGCTACCTTAAGAAAGTCATAGTTACTTCCGCCGTTGATCCCGCGCTTGGCTTGAATTTCTTCACGTTGACATTCTGAGCACTGGGCAGAAATCACATTGCGTCTACACCGTCGCAACAGCCTATCCTCGCAATGCTTTGTTTTAAGTAAACAGTCGGATTCCCCTTGTCCGTACCAGTTCAAGATCGGTTGCTAAAAAAACAGTGTGCGCAGAGAGTGAAGGTGCAAGAGCGGCATGCAAGCACACCCCCTTTCACCCCCACCCCCCACACACACAATCAACCTCTTGAGCCAATCCTTATCGCGAGCTTACGGATCTATTTTGCCGACTTCCCTTACCTACATTCGTCTATCAAACTAGAGGCTCTTCACCTTGGAGACCTGCTGCGGTTATCAGTACGGCCAACCACGCCCACATGCAGCGGAGAAAATAGATTAGCACAAGTGCTTCTCTTCTTCCCCCCACACTGCTACCATTCACACCCTCGGATTTTCATGGACCGCCGGGAACGCGCCGGACACCACAACAAAAAAAGGTCAGTGGTGCTTTGCCGAGCCTCTCACCCCATCTCCAGCCAAACTGATTCCAGGGTCAGAGAATGTAAAGGAGGAAGGTTGAAGAGCGCAGAATAAACTAACACTCTTCCCCCTACTCCTCCCCACAATGCAGCTCGTTAAAAAGAAAAGAAAACTCTTTCCAGGGCCCCCGGCAGCGTCTCCGAGTTTGTACGCGTTGCCGCTGCTCTATCAAAACATTCTTTGTGGCGTGCGTTGGTCCAGGAATCTTAACCTGGTTCCCTTTCGATGGACTGGGGTAATCAACACGTGTGCAAGCATGGCGATAATATCACCACCACCCACACACGCGCAACAACTCCCCACTTGACACAGGACTGCCCCATCTCTTAGGACCGACTCACCCGTGGCCAACTGCTGTTCCCACGGAACCTTGCTCCACTTCAGTCTTCAAAGATCTCATTTGAATCGTTGCTACTGTCACCAAGATCTGCACTGGAGGCCCCTCCACCCAGGCTCACGCCACAGGCTTCCACGGCTTGTTCAAAAGATTGCTCTCACGCAAACACCTCCACGCCCACCTACTTGTGTGTGGCTACATGTAGTTTTGAGACGCAACAAGCACGAATGCTCGCTTCGCTCGCTTTCTTCCACACACAGCGGAGTATAGGTACGACGCTTGAGCGCCATCCATTTTCAGGGCTAGTTGATTCGGCAGGTGAGTTGTTACACACTCCTTAGCGGATTCCGACTTCCATGGCCACCGTCCTGCTGTCTATATCAACCAACACCTTTTGTGGGTTCTCATGAGCGTCGATTCCGGCACCCTAACTCCGCGTTCGGTTCATCCCGCATCGCCAGTTCTGCTTACCAAAAATGGGCCCACTTGAGACTCGGTTATTCAGCATTGCCCGCTTCATAAACAAAGAAAGCGCGCCGCCTTACCCATTTAAAGTTTGAGAATAGGTTGAGGGAAGTGGCTCCCCCAAGGCCTCTAATCATTCGCTTTACCAGATAAAACTAACCAAAAGATCAAAAAATAAGTCTCAGCTATCCTGAGGGAAACTTCGGTGGGAACCAGCTACTAGATGGTTCGATGAGTCTTTCGCCCCTATACCCAAGTTCGACGACAGATTTGCACGTCATGATCGCTACGAGCCTCCACCAGAGTTTCCTCTGGCTTCGCCCTACTCAGGCATAGTTCACCATCTATCGGGTCCTAACATCTGCGCTAAAACGCAAATCCTTCAGCGGAGGAGGTGGAAGCCACACAAAAGTGCTTTTCCCCCTCCCCCAATCCAGATCGGTCGATGGTGCTGCGAGTGCTGTTAAAAGTGTACTCACGCACACTTCCACAACACTGCATCCCACCTCTCACTTTCATTGCGCGCCCTAGCTTCATGCTCGCTAAAACACTCGCGCACATGTTAGACTCCTTGGTCCGTGTTTCAAGACGGGCCGTTTGCAGCCCTGTCGCCAGCATCTCCCCGGTGGTGTGCGCCAAGCGGCAAGCGCAACATTCCCAACACCGCCCGCACACACTCTGTCAACAGCACAAGAGAACGAGTCTCCCTCATCCCAAAACAAGAGTCTGCGCAACACAATGCCGAAAACAGCACCCATGCCAAAGACCACATAACAAAGCCACCGCATCGATAATTTCCTCAGTCCCGCGTGCGACAGAAACATAAAAAGCAGATGCGCCACGCACAAGGGCGCCCTCGCATCGCCGTCTCTCACACACAAAACTCATGCTGGCAGACACGCCCCGCGAGTGCAGGCAGCGCAGCACACAACAACAGCAACGCAGCGGCGCATATGTGCAACAAGTACACACAAAACACCCCCCGCACTATCATCACACACCACACCAAAAGCCCTGATCACAAGGCGCGCCCAGTCTCTGCTAGCTGCAAGCGATTCTCTGTCAACGGTTTCACGTACTGTTTAACTCTCTTTTCAAAGTGCTTTTCATCTTTCCCTCACGGTACTTGTTCGCTATCGGTCTCGTGCCAGTATTTAGCCTTGGATGCAGTTTACCACCCGGCTTTGGGCTGCATTCCCAAACAACCCGACTCAAGAGAATAAACGGACCACACACCGCACATCAGCGCAAATAATGTAGCACCAACGGGACTCTCACCCTCTCCGGTGTCCTCTTCCAAGGAAACTCGGTGCTGCGCCAAACAACAATGCACAACAAAAGCTGTGCACCATCATAAAGACATGCGACGGCCCGCATCCCATAAAGACTACAACTCGCCACAAAAAAGAAGCTTGTGGAGATTCCAATGCTTGAGCTCTTCCCGCTTCACTCGCCGTTACTGAGGGAATCCTTGTTAGTTTCTCTTCCTCCCCTTAGTGATATGCTTAAGTTCAGGGGGTACCCTTGCCTGACCTGAGGTCAACAGAAAAAAGTGAAGTGAGTAGAGGGGGAAGGGGGTTTGAGAGAGAAATTAAGCGGAATGAGGTAAATGGATGGATGCAGTCGTTTGTGCACATAGACTGCAACAAGTGCAGTGATGTGCACACACACAATGCTCCGTCCATCACTCTTCCAGGTTTCCTCTCTCTCACAAGTTTCCCTCTCTTCTTCATCAGTGTTTTTGCTCACATGACCAGTGTCACAAAAGCCACATAAAGTTGCAAGCACACAAAGCACATGCCTCTTCACACACAGCATACACACGCTGCAGAACAACGATGCCAGTTGACACATCGCTCCACAGCTTGTTGTATCCTGCTGCATATGCAGATACAGCATGCATGTGCTTGCCGTGGTCTCGCAACAACGGCACCCACACAGCGACAGTGTGTGATGACAACAGTATGAGAATAGAAGTGGGATGTGTGTGAGGTGTGAATCACATCGACAGCAACAACACAACGCACAAGGCATCGTATCATCGTGCAATGCAATCCACATGCTCACACACAAACACCCACTCCTTCTTCATCACAGTCACCATCATCACAGTTATCATCGCAATGGAGTCGTAAGCTCTCCTCTTCAGAGTCCAGTCTCACACAATACACACACACAGCAAAAATGTGTGTGTGCACCGCATCGACTAACACCCCATGGCCACCAACAATGCACAGAGTGCAAATGAGATATGAGTGCATGCATGCGTGGGCGCTTCTTCATACTGCTACACAACAAACAAACACCACACCAACAAAGGTGTGCTGCTGCTGCTGCATAGTTGCAGTAATCAAATACACCCACACACATACTCACACCCTCATAAGCACACTAAAACGCATTGTCAATGAGATTGAGTGGCGACACTCAGGCAGACATGCCCGCACGCACAGACACGCACACAATGGCGCATGCCCACACACACAGGCGCAATGTGCGTTCGAAGATTCAATGATTCACGGAATTCTGCAATTCACACTACATTTCGCGTCTTGCCACGTTCTTCATCGATGCACGAGCCTAGAGATCCACCGTTGAAAGTTGTCTCATGGTTATTAATTTGGTTGTGTTGAATGAGATGTTGAGATTGAAGTGAGGGTGGTTGCAGTGCGCATGTGTCATGTGTGTGTATTCCAACGCACAATGTTTGTTGGCACACACAAACACAACACATCACAACGCTCTCTCGCTCCCTCTTTCTCTCACTCACTCGTTTGTGGTTATCATGTATATTCATATGTCCACAGCACAGCACAAATCTTTTGGTTGCTGTTGCTGCAGCAAGATGCTTTCGCCCACACGGACATGTGTGTGCAATCGCAGCCGCTGCCACAACAACAATCCAAAACACACGTTTTCTTGCTGTGATCACTTCTTCTTCTTCTTTGCACGAGGCAAACAATCTTTACATCCACATCGCACACACACACAAGAACACTGCCATCGCAATGCAACACACACAACATGTGCTCCACTGCGACAAACACAATGCTCATGCACGCATGCACATGCTTTTGCTTTGTTTTTGTCTTCATTCACACAATGCTCACTCCCACACACACATAAGCGTGCGAGAGCGATTTGGTTGGTTTGTTGGCTCAAGTTGGCTCAAGTTGGCTCGGTTGGCTCAGTCCAGTGTCTCCACCTTCCCTCACCATCCCTCACCAATTCTCGCCATCCCCTCACCAGCCACGCTTTTCAACGTTTTCCTTGTTGGAATGATCCTTCCGCAGGTTCACCTACGGAAACCTTGTTACGACTTTTACTTCCTCTAAATGATCAAGTTTGACCAGGTTCTCAGCAAAGAAACACATGGGCAGCTGTTGCCAGCGCCCACGCGCCAATCCCGAGGCCTCACTAAACCATTCAATCGGTAGTAGCGACGGGCGGTGTGTACAAAGGGCAGGGACGTAATCAACGCAATCTGTTGAATTGCGCTTACTAGGAATTCCTCGTTCAAGATGAATAATTGCAAGCATCTATCCCCAGCACGACGGGTTTTCACAAGAGTCCCCACGCCTTCCAGCGCAGGAATAGATGTTTGTGAATGCAGAAAGCACAAGACTTTCCCCACCACAAACACCCAAAGCATACTCGCTGCCCCCGTCAGTGTAGCGCGCGTGCAGCCCAGAACATCTAAGGGCATCACAGACCTGTTATCGCCTCAAACTTCCTTCGGCTTACGCTCAATAGCAACGCCGAGTGTCCCTCTGAGTGGTGTGTCAAAAGACACGCTTGCGCGTAATCTCCAACGCCTACAAAACAGCAGGCGCACACCAATCAGCAAGTCAAGGTCTCGCCGTTTACCGTAATCAAACAGAGATTTCACAACAAAAGCTGGACGGCCATGCACCACCTCCCTTGGAATCAAGAAAGAGCTGTCAATCTGTCAATCCTTCCCATGTCTGGACCTGGTGAGTTTCCCCGTGTTGAGTCAAATTAAGCCGCAGGCTCCACTCCTGGTGGTGCCCTTCCGTCAATTCCTTTAAGTTTCAATCTTGCGATCATACTCCCCCCGGAACCCAAACGCTTTGGTTTCCCTAAAGGTCCCGATGGCGCCTCCATCACAGAATGATTTGTGCTGCCCACCGAGCCCTGGCCGGCATCGTTTATGGTTAAGACTACGACGGTATCTAATCGTCTTCGATCCCCTAACTTTCGTTCTTGATCAATGAAAGCGTCCTTGGCAAATGCTTTCGCAGTCGGCGGTCTTTCGTAAATCCAAGAATTTCACCTCTGACAACGAAATACCAGTGCCCCCAACCGTCCCTATTAATCATTACTTCAGACCCGATGTGGTGAGGGAGGAATAAGAAAACCTTGCGGTTTCTCACTCCACAATACCCCCGCACCACACGCCAACAGTACAGGCCCAAAAGTCCTCTTCCGTTGTTCCATGCTAATCTATTCAAGCAAATCAAATGACTGCCTGCTTTGAACACTCTAATTTTTTCAAAGTAAAGCCCCCAACAGCGCCCCACCACTACGTGACTTGACACACACCCAATCAAGGGCAC